CTCAATGATAGTGCAAAAAACTGGCGCCATGTTTACAAGGTTTGCATGTCTTATATATACTGGAAACCCATTTTCTATGTTACAAAATCTTTATCATCTTTTTTCAGGCTTTAGTTGTTTTGGATTACTTAGTAGCCAATGGGCCGGAGCGTGTTATACATGAAATAAGCGAACATTCATATCAAATATCTGTAAGTCTCTTGTTAATTTCTTTTTATATATCTGGGAGATAATATCTTCTTTTATCACAGATGTTATCTCATTTTCAATACATTGACTCTACTGGAAAAGATCAAGGAATCCATATTAGGAACAAATCTCAGGCTCTTCTTCTTCTTGTCAATGATAAGGAGAAGATACAACAACTCCGCCTAAAGGCAGCTACCAACAGGGACAAGTAACTACTCTTCTTCAATTTGTGACATATATATAGAACGAATGGTTCATTCACATGGACAATTGATAAATGAAATGAGTGATAAGATTTAACTTCAATTTTTTCTCATCATCTTCATATAGATTCCACAACACATCAAGGGGTGATATGCATCGACCTGGTTCATATTCAACTTCAGGACAACGTTATAGAGACAGAAATGAATACGGGAGAGAAATAGAATGGGGTTATAGAGAGGAGGAAAAATATGGTAGACATGATGGGGATCGTAGCCCAGATGAAAAAACAAATGATGATCATGTCGGAACAAGTCAGAGTGTAGATGACTACAGTAGTGAATCAAGATATGACAACACGGATGATGGTCAATACTCTCCTAGGTTTGTCTTCTCACCTTTTCGTATGATCTTTGAAGGCATAGTTTGTTATGACGTAGTGTAACTTTCAAATTCTGATAGAAAACTGAATAGGTTCTTTTCGAGCACCCCATGATCTTATTCCTGTCATTATTCTGAAATTTGATTTGTAGTTTTCATCAATTCGATAAGGTTCTGATCTTCTTCACTAGTACTAATGCGTTACTATTACCTATGACTAATAGAGAAAGCGGTGCAAGGGCTGAGGATCACTCTCAAGATGGAAGGTGATATTATTGACTCTTTCTAGTTTTTTCTCTGAAGTTCTGTTATTGGACGTTGTATATGATTTCTCTCTTGTATGACGTAAACCTTATAGATAAAATAATGTGTATGTGTAGCATTAGATGATATGTACACACACATATACAGCATTAGACTTATTAGGGTATTTTTTTTTCCTTTATAAAGAAATTTACATGTTCAACTTCAGTGTTAACGGTACGCAACATGAGAGAAGGTTTTCTGAACAAAACCTCGATCTACCTCCCAGTTTTGAGGAATCCATTGGTGCATCACAAAGCCCCACACAGAGTGAGAGGTAATAGTTGTATGAGAAGATTCTTAACCCAACTTTCTTTTCTAGTAAATTTTATATTGATCTTTATTTTACATTTGTAAAAGGAATGTGGAATCAACTTCAACATCTGCTCCGAAAGCTTCCTCGCCTCATGCAATTGAAAGTCCAAACAAGGAAGCCACCCCTGCCCCTGCACCAGTTGCTGCTTCATTGTCCACTCCACTTTCAGCTACTACTCCACCGGAGAACAAGGATATTGAGAACTTTGATGATTTTGATCCTCGGGCTTCTGTTTCAGGTAAATGGACCTACTTTAACAATCAACAGGCCAAATATACTTCTAACCTGTTTAGCTGACCTTCTGAAAGGCCAAAAGTGTTATTTTTCTTAAAAGCATTTATTTTTTGACCAAACACATCCATTCTTGAAAGTAATTGCTCTTTTTTAGTAGAGGCGGACAGAAATTTTCTCCCAAAAGTAAGTTCTTTTGATTTGTTTTGGAAAAGATTACCTATATCAAATTCTTTTACCAAATTAAAAGTAGTAGTAGTATCTTCCTTTTTCGTAATTTGACATCCAAAACAGTTTTTTGAAATATTGGCCAAACACAAACTACTAACAAAAGCATTTCTCAAATGATTTAGTCAAACACAAACTGCAATCTCAAATAATTTGATTTCTGCAGCTTAGCCAAACATGCTATTAATGCTTAAGTATATTAGTTTGTTGTTGTCTTCACTAGCCATGACCTTCATAGTGTGAACCATGGTTGTGTCGGTTATCTACTTATCTCTGTCAATGAAAGGTGTTACTCAAGCGTGTTTAAGGTTATTGTACTATGACTGTGGTTGATGATAAGGACCTGATTCTTTGAATTTCTATTGTTTCGTCACTAGTGGTAGAAACTGTTGAACGTGAAATATACTTTGCACATGTTAGGTAAAGTTAGAAACCATTCTACAGAGGACAACTTAATTTAACAGAAAATTCTATGCAAAATATATATATGCTGATATAGATATACTCCTTTGGTTTTAATAAGCATGAAAATCTTCCTCCTTTTGTCTTCAAAAACAATGATAAGTTTCTTTAGAAGAGAAAAAACAATTTAAGATGGTCAGTTTACCAGAAAGAGAACTTCTGTGGTTCACTTCTCACTCAAACAATCGTCTGCTCTCTTATTTGTAATCTTACCTCTTTATTCCCTTGTAATCTTTAAAACTTGCTCAATCACATGTAGAGTCTTTGTTTGAATTGGAATAACAAAGTATGAGGCAATTTAAGTATGTTGAAGCTTCTATACAAAATTCGGATTTCTTCATATGTTGATTAGTCATATTTATAAGTAAATCTTCATAGGTAGGTCATTTTCCATGTCATATTGGATTATTTGATACTTAAATTTGCTATATATTTCTTATTATTGCATATCACAACACGTGTTAGTTAATTTGCCTGAGCTAATAATTTCTATTGTTGGCTGAGCAGTGGCCAGGGCTCAATCAAACAATCCTATTCCAACTACTTCCGTGGGCACTGAAGTGGATCCACTTGGCTGCTTATCTGATCCATTTTCTTCAGATTCGTTAGTCCTTGCATCAACAGCTACAACCACGTCTGAGGTTAATGCTTCCAGGACTACTGTATATTAAAAAAGGGCATGAAACACCTCCCATACAAAAAAGTTTAATCAAGTATTGTCATTACTTACAGAATGCAGATTTCTTGCAGATGTTTGAGGACCCTTTTGGTGATGGTCCTTTCAAAGCCGTACCAACATCAGACATAGTTCAAAATCAGCCGCTGAACATTTCTCCTCAATCGTTCCCTCCTAACTCAAATCTAAGTCCTGAACTGTGTGCTGGTATCCCGAGTATAACATATGCAGCAACCAATTATGCTCATCAGGAGTTGTCCACATCCAACCATGATATTGATATATTGGCTGATATTCTCCCTCCTTCTGCTCCTTCACCTTCTCTGCATCCCTCTAGTGACCATGCAATTTCAAGTGTCCCATTTATAGCGCAGACAGGTTTTCCACCTTACACTGGGCTAGCTGTACAACCAACAGGTTATACAACTACCCATGTTCAGGATGCTTCACCCACAGGTTTTGCAGCTCAACCTGGTTTACAGTTACCACAGACTAGCTTTCCTGTTCACGGGCAACCTTTATCTCAGATTGGGTTAACTGGTCAAATGAGCAATTCTTCACCATATTTTTGTGGTTATTCACTTCAACCTGGCCAAAGACCACATACAGGTTTTGGTCCGCAAAGTGGCCAATTTGCACCTCTTAATGGCTTCCCATTTGCATCAGGTTCCTTTCCCCATCCTGAAATTCAAGTAGCTGCTGGTCAGTCTCCGCAGACCAATGTTAACTTTGGAGGTTACAGCACGGGATTGGGAGATACAAGTTCAGTTAGAATGCAAATGGGTCAAACTCCTGATGGACCATCTTTCCTTGCGCAGGCCGCTACTGCATCCCATATGCCTTCACAAATGAATCTTCAATATTCACAAAATCAAACAAATAATGTGTCAATGTCCATACTCTCTACTCCAGTTTCAACAGCTCTCATCAGCAGCAGTCAACCAGCCAAAGACAAATTTGAGACAAAATCTACCGTGTGGGCGGATACACTGAGTCGTGGATTGGTCAATTTAAACATTTCTGGCTGTAGGTTATCGTGCTTTTGCCTTTTTGTGGTATCTTTTATTTTTCCTTCATCGTCATAACATTGCAATTTTTTGTATGTAGCTAAGACAAATCCTTTAGCTGATATTGGAGTTGATTTTGATGCTATTAACCGCAAGGAGAAGAGGATGGAGAAACCTAGTATAACAACCCCTGTGACATCAACTGTTACAATGGGTAAAGCAATGGGTTCTGGTTCTGGTATTGGCCGTGCTGGTGCAGGTGCGCTAAGGCCTTTGTCAAATCCAATGGCAGGGGTTGGTATGGGCATGGGTGTTGGTGCTCCTGGAGTATATGGAGTAAGCCAGCCTATGGGCATGGGGATGTCTAGACCAATGAACATGAACATGGTTCAAGGAGTACAAATGCAACAACCAACTGGTGGATCTACCATGCCAGGAGGCTACAATCCCATGATGGGCAGAGGTAACTATGGCCAACAACCATTCGGTGGTGGATACAGATAAGCTTAAGGCTGTGAATTTGGGAAACTAAAGAAGATCAAAAAACTACGCCATAGAATGTATTCTAGTGAATAGTGTTGGCCTGTTTAGACCACCATCTGTTGTAGAGTATGTTTTTGGATTAGCATTTGTATAATTTTAGGATCACCTATCTCAGGTGTCCTTTTTTCTCAGCTTGATCCTTACACTTGAGTTTGGACAAAATAAGTGTATTTCACGATCGAGTTTCACCATGTTCTTCAATTCCTACTTTTCACTGCAAAGTTTATTTGGTTTTGAATAATGTTTTTAGACACAAGAAAAATGATACAATGATTTTCTATTCCTTGTAAATTTCAGCCCTTTTGTTCAGATTAAAGGTATGCCCAAAAATATCTTTTAGAAACTAGGGACTTTATTTATTTTTTTTAAATGCAATTATAACGTCATCACATTTTCTTCTTCAAACACCAACCAAAAAATTTCTAATAAATTTAAAACTAATTGTGGCTAGTGACGAGGGAGGATTCAATAGAATCGATGAAATGAATTATAAAAATAATATTTTTAGACCTAGACCATTCAAGAAACACATACGCAACTAGAAACAACTTTCATAAAAAGATAAAAACAAATTTAATTGGAAAAAAAAAGAGGAAAAAGTTAGGTTGTGCTTAGAAAAGAAGAAAAACAAGAGTAAGAGCGCAGCTGAATATCATTTGCGGGGAACCCATCTGAATTGTTGAGAGAAGGTGGTGAATCTAAGTGGTAATTTTCTCTTCTTCACCTACAATCAAATCGCCGATTTTATTTTATTTTTCTAATTTTGGTTGTCGATGACAGATTAGTATGCAAAATCTAAAAAATGGAACTTGGAATGTCTTTATAAATTGAATTTAGAAAGAAAACAGAGAAAAATTTATGCATGAATTTTTAGTTTTAGAAAAGATGGTATGCTAATGTTTTACTGTTTGGTAAAATAAAGAATGAGGTGCTTTAATTTGGCCGATCCCATCTGAACTCAATACTTTCTGCTGTAATGAATTATTCGTAACTACTATAACTTAAATTCGAAGTCTACTTTTACATTTACATTTATGCTAATCATTTTTTAGGAAGATATTGCAACTCTGATTTCAGAAAGAGACACACTAGCAGCGAGATGACATATGAATTAGATGAACAAAAAAGTAAGCAGATTTCATTTTGTGCTCAATTTGCATGCGCTTATGATAAACTTTATCTTCCAAGAGCCATAAATGCACTCTGTTTACTAATATAGTTTGGCATCTCACCTTCAAAATTTTATAAACCTTGCAGAGGTTGGGTTAGGTCTCATTGGATTTGGCATCTTTTTCACTTTTCTTGCCATAATGTTGTTCTTCGACAGGGGTTTGCTTGCGCTGGCAAATGTAAGTAATCTGTAGTTATCTTGATTTATGAAACGAACAACTAATTTCTTCTTCTTATCTTGTCCTAGATACTTTTGTTAGCAGGTGTAGCACTTCTGTTGGGTTTGCGTTCTACATTACAGCTCTTCAAAGTAAACTACAAGGTAGGGGCATTTGTGAGGAATACATCCTTTTGTCCTGTACTCCTGTTATAATTCACTCAATGCGTAGTAATAACATTTTCTGCTGCTTGCATTAGCAATTTCCTGTATACAAGAGCAATCTCATATTTCTGTGGAGTAGTTTAATAGATCTACCAGGTTTATCTCTTCCATGTGATCGATTTAGCATGTATCATGCTTGTTGCAATAACTAATCCTTAGGCATTGCTAAAGCTATGATTGTTAAATTCGAACACAATGTCGCGGTGTGGCTTAAATGCGACTCTGAATACTAGTTGCTCTCTAGCATGAGGTTATTTTGTTGTCTTTTTAGATTGATTTTCAATTTGTCTTCAGAGCCAAAGTTTCATTTTTCCTTTCTATATAAAAAAATACTGAAGAAGGAAAATTAAGAAGTTCAAGAATAGGTCACAAAGGAGCAAACCATGATAATTGTGTCTCCTAAATGCTCCAAAATTTTACAAAAGCATCCTTTAAGGGATGATAAGAGCACAAAATTTTAACTCATTATGTCTTAAAATATACTGAATGAAAGGCTACCAAGGCAAACCTTCTACTACTCTAGGAAAAGATTGTTAATATAAAAATGTCTAGTTACTAAGAGATATATCCGGTATATATATATATTAAGTGATTCAAAGGTTTCTTTTATTAGTTTTAATAATAATTTTGTTTAATTTAATAAAAAGAAGTCTATTTTGTACTCTATCTGTGTATTCTTTTTTATTCCTAAAAAATAGCAGATGAAATAGAAGGCTTAGAGGGGAGATAATGGAATTATGTGATTGGGTCTTCCAAAAACAAAGGAATAATCCGTTTTTCCATTAACTGATTTGATGGGTCCAACAAACAATTAATTATAACAAATATCTAAATTCTACATTAAAAAAAAATACTAGACTAAGATTCTAAATAAAGGATAATAAATAAAAGGGGTCCTCTTTTATTCGAAACGGAGAGGCTCCATTACTCTTTTGTGAGGCAAAATAAACTTCTTGTTTTAGTAAAGGAAAGAGTAAAAAGGTTCAATGCTCACAATCTCCCATATGTATTGCAACAACAAACCTAGTATAATCCCATAAGTGGGGTATGGGGAAGGTGGTGTGTACTAGGCCTTATCCCTACCTTGTGAAGATAGAGTTTCCTATAGACCCTTGTCTCAAGTATAGCACATCAAAAAAGGATAGTAGCTAAGAATCTGAAGAAGCATATCAATAGCTAGAATCTAAAGAAGAGAATAGTAGCAACAACTAATATGATAATTGAATCAAAGGAAACAATAGGTAATACTAAGATCGAAGAATAAGATAGTAGGAAAGCAATAATAATAAAACTGATAACGGAACTAGACAATGTTCGACTACCAACTAACCTTTATCCTAATTGCGACCTCCATATCTCCCTATCTAGGGTCATAATCTTAGTAAGCTGCAATTGAGCCATGTCAAGTCTTATCACCTCTGCATATCTCCCATACGTATTGATATTCTGTAATTTATAAATTACATCTTCCACAGATGTTTCTGGTTCCCACAAATGCAACTTAAGATAGTTACATGTCGAACTAACAGTTTAGCTATTAATTTGTTTCCAACTTCTTCTTTACTTGATCAGTTACAAACCCCACTGAAGTGTTCTTATTGCTCCCTGTTAGTTCGACTTATTTCTTTTGAGCTAGGTAGATAATGTATCTTCCATCTGTAGTCTATGATATAGACCTTTAGGTGGCTTAATTTCCATTTCTTGTGGTCATGACAACTAGGCTTAAGTTAAATCACTTAGCTCTTTCCGAAAAAGTACCGGGAGAAAGCACCGTCAGGGGTTTGAACCCCACCATAGACCCAAAAAAAAAAGTAGGGAGGGGAATTGCCGAGGGCTTCTCTTCTATGTGGTTCTGCATGATACTTGCGTTAATGTTTCAGAAGTGTTATTTGTAGTTTTGATGATGTAACAAACTCAGGGACCTTATGAAGGTACCCTGTTCTCAATATGAATCGTTCGTTGACTGTCAGCTGGAGAAAGTACAGAAAGTTGTGTAACCGATTTCCTTTTGCTTGTGAAGATTAGTGAAACGGTTGTGAAAATCCTGTGAGACAGGTCGTGGTTTTACTCCCTTGAGCAAGGAGGTTTCCACGTAAAACTCCTCTGTTGTTAAACTGCATTTACTTTCTGCTATATCCTTATTTGTGTGTCAAGGGACCTGGTCCATTGACTAATAGTGGACGCACAGATTCTAACAAGAAGTTAACAGCTTAGAACCTTCCGCTTTAGTACAAAACTTTCTAACCCATCTCTCAAGGGCTATTAATTCTCTAGGCAATGCATTCTCAACCTTTGTGTTGTTTTATCCATCTTCTATAATCTCGCTGCTGGACCTTAATGCCTTATGTTCTTAATTTTTACTGTTTTAGAATGAAATGAAGACAGTAATGGTCTTTATAATGTGAGGGAGAGACTAGGGTGGAGGGTCTCTGACATGCAATGTCTACCTTGCTTAAGACATAAATGTTTCTTTACTCTGTATCTTTCTTTGACTGAAACTAAACAAGTTGCATCACATCAGTTTTCATCTTAGGTCTTTTTTCTCTTTTACTCCAGGGCACAATATCATTTATGCTTGGGCTCTTTCTCATATTTGTTCGCTGGCCAGTTGTGGGTATCATTGTGGAAATATATGGATGCATTATTCTCTTCGGGTGAGCACCTTTTGGATAGATAACACTTCTCTCATATTTCTCCTCATTCGTCTTTCCTCGAGTAACATAAGATTTTGATTTTGATCTTTTCCCTGCAGTTGTTTCTGGCCATCCATCAAGGTTTTTCTTTTCCAGATTCCTGTATTTGGATGGATTCTGCAGTATCCTGCCCTGGTGAGTTAATACTTATGCCTATCTCAAATTGGTATGGCTTCATTGGAGATGGAAGGGTATTTAAAGCTTTTGCAGCTCCTTCAAGCCATTTTTCCTTTAATTAAACTGATACATGTGGTTGAATTTTTTAACCCAAAATAAGGGAAGTTGTGTTAAATATTGTACTGAGGCATGCCTGATTTTGATTTTGGCTATGGTCATGTTTGTTTGTTCTTTTGATTGTGGTCCTTGATGGTTGTCTGAAGTTGCAATTTTGTCCTCAATACTTTGGGTTGTGCAACTCGCACTCCTATATGTTAATTTGTGCCCACGGATCCTGATTTTATCACATAAATGGCCATATTTTTTAAACTCACATATGATAATGGTTAGATGAACACTATTGTATACCAATCCATAGGGCGTCACTTTTTGGTTATGGTCAAATTTATGTCATAGTCTACTCTTTGGGAATAGAAACTTATTAAATCCGTTACGTTGGTGTTATGTAGTGCCTTGAACCTTCCAGCAAACCTCACTTTATAAGTCCAAGTCATGGATGTGCAAAATTTATATTATATCTATAAGAAGAAGCTAAGGTAGGTATTAGTGGATGTTTGATCTGGACCATGGCTAACAAGTGGCCATTATGGTGTAACTTGAAGGTTTAGATGATTGACAGCAAACAGATATAAGTTTCAGTTTTTGTATCATGCTACCTAGGTTCTAACATCTTCCCCTTTGTTTTCAGCTTCTTGACCGCTTTCGTAGCTGACTGACTGATTTGTCTACTCCAGTTATCCTGTTTGTAAAAGAGGAAGAATATACTGAGCTAGGGTTGTTTGTCATGTGATGCAGATTGCTGTCACCTTTATCTTCAAATGTATATTAGATGTTGATTAGGATTATAATAATCATCAGTTCTGAAGTAGCAAATCTTGTTATCAAGTTTTCTTATACTATCCTATCCCCTGTTTTCTCTACCATTTTCTTAGGGAAAAACTTTTTGACATATAGTTTATCTGTCATATTTTTTATATTTAGAAGAAGAAGAAAAATGAACTCAAAAGTCATATTTTTATCCTTTTTAGTCAAGCACGTTATTGGTTACCTTGCAATCCCAATATTATTATGATGATTGAGAGACTTTCTGGGCTTTAATATGTTTGATAGTCAAACTAATAATATAGTATGATTTTGTCCTCATAATGATGGGATGGGACCTCTTTTATCTATATCGTTAAAGCCTTGCTCCATTTTTCACGGTATAATTGATAACAATTTTAAAAAATATTTAGTAGTAAATCAATTCGATATATTATTTAATATGGTCCGAACATTCCTCCACAAAATATCTCTTAAATTGTGGAATTTGGATTATTATACTCACAACTGTGATTATTATAATGATAAAAATTAACCTACTACTACTTTTGTTCCTAATGATTATTTCTCCACCCTCCTACAACTATGCACTCTCTTGTCCCTAATAATTTTCACTAAGGAATCAAAATACGAGAAGATTCTTGAGACTAATTATATTTCTAAATTTAACATAATCGATCACTAATACATTTATAATTTCAAAAGTAGTCGATTCAATCTCCACAACATGTTACAATCCAAGTATGATTTATATTCCAAATTTAGTACAGTGCCGCAGCCACAAGTGACCAAATTAAAGGAGCAGTTGAGTTGAGTTAAAGTAATCGTCGAGATGCTTTTAGTGATATGTAAATATATAATGAGTTGGCAGGCGGCTATTATAAAGGAAACAATGAGACAAAAAGTTAAAAGGGAATCGAAACATCTAAAAGATGAGTTTATATTATACAGAAAGAAATATCAATTGGTATCTATAAATATATATATAAACTATTGTAATTTGTTTCCATATGTATATAACTCACTTGTACACAATATTAGTGCTAGTCAAACCTATCACATCTTTGCATTGATGTTTGCCACCAAATTTATTATAATTATAAATAAAAATAAATAAACTCTATTAATACACTATATTCAAATTACTTAAATGTTTTATTTTTATATTGATCGATTTAATCATTTAAATTAACTAGAGTATATAATTATAATTTAGAAGAGGACAACATGTAATTAGTTGTTAGTGGGATACACGATCCCAAGCACATGCATAGATCTTTTGTCATTCTATGATTGAGACATACTTTAATTATTAATATCCGACAAAAATGAATTCATTTATATTATCTCATTACAACAAAAATAGCGATATTTAATTTTTATTATCGCTAAATATGAATTTTTAGTAGTTATTGTCACTCTTTGTATATGTCCTTAAAGCCTTTAGCGACATTGATTTTAAAGATTTAATACTCTTTATTAGTGTCAATATTTAATGTCGCTAAAAATTATTTTTGTTATAGCGTATGCATAGATCGTATAATACAAAGTAGTAAATGTTAATTATATCCCCATGCCTTGTTGACGTAGTGTATACGTCAAAATTTCAATTTGTAAATGGATCCTTATATTAATTTTTCATGCATAAAAATAAAAGAATTCCCAATTATTGAGGACAAAAAGGCTGCTACTCGTCAACTCATAAATCATAATGTAGGGTTTATATACTTTTTCCAATGTGGCATGTGATGTGTGTTTGGGACCAGCAACCAAAAGCAATATTAGCAATGAATCCAAACAAAGCTAGCTATGTACAGTGACTAACTGGAGAAAATGTTAATGCCATACGAGAACGACACCAACTAACATTTACAATCGAATTGTAAATGTATCGGGATGTATTCGAAATGAAAACGTAATACATAAGACATTTTTGGATGTATTTAAGATTTCACCAAAGAATTTTTGTAATTTGAAATAAATTAAAAATATAATATAATTCGCTCGTAACACCACACTATAAGATTTATGTAAAACAAATACAAAAATTTGCCACAAAAATCATATCTGTAAAACGAAAAAAGCCTATCCTAAAAGGAACATTAGAAACCAACTAATGTTATGTGAGTATATATCCGTCTATCGTTTCTTATTTAATTTTCTGAGGTTTTTGGGAAACAATAAATTATCATCACATGTTATGAAGAAGAGGAAGAATATATATATATAATAATTATCATCACATGTAATGAATGAAGAGGGTTGTATTATTTATCGATCGGTCTTTTTCAGGTAAAGAGAAAAATTGATGGAAAAATAAAAGCAAAGTGAACAAAATTCATCTCTTTATTGATTTGGTGCACAAAAGCACAAGTAGGCACTAGGAGACGGCCAACAATAATTAAGAGCAAAACGAATCAAATTACAAAGCCTATACATATAATAATAATAAATTATTATTACTATAAAGAAGCAACATATGAAATTGTACACTAGATGATGTATAATTACTATTTCCAACTATTTAAGCCACTTTCCACGTGAAGACACACAGAGAACAATGTGTAATAAGGAAACCAGAGAAGCAGAAGCAAAGTGGTCCAAGTCACTAGGAATCAACCTCTCAATTGCAAAGTTGAACATCTTATTAATTGCATTTGAACATGGAACTATTAATCTTCTCCTCAAGAACCCATCACTTATTTTGTGACTGAAACTGAAATCTGCAAACAATTGTTGATATTAATTAGAGACCTTTATCTTAGGTAAAACTAACAAAGACATTTTAAAGTAAAATTCAACTTACTTGAGTGGTTGTGGAAAATGGCCAAGCTTTTCCAACTGCTTAGTAGTGGACTGGTGGTGGCGGAGAACCATAGATGTATACTGGAGGAGGAGGTGATTTTACGGGTGGGGGAGGTGAGCTGTAGTAGTATGGAGGAGGAGGAGACTTCACGGGTGGAGGTGGAGAGTGATAGTAGTAGGGAGGGGGTGGTGATGGTGATGGGGGTGGTGGTGATTTGTAGTAGTATGGTGGAGGAGGAGACGGTGATGGTGGTGGTGGGGACTTGTAGTAGTATGGTGGAGGAGGAGATGGCGATGGTGGTGGAGGAGACTTGTAGTAATAGGGAGGTGGAGGTGATGGGGATGGTGGTGGTGGTGATTTGTAGTAGTATGGAGGTGGGGGTGATGGTGATGGTGGTGGAGGAGACTTGTAGTAGTATGGTGGTGGGGGAGATGGGTCTGGTGGTGGTGGAGACTTGTAGTAGTATGGTGGAGGAGGAGATGGCGATGGTG